TCAGTCAGCTAAGCATCTGCCCTTGGCTCAGGTCATGATCCGAGGATTTCGAACATCACATTGGGCTCCCTGCCCAGTGGGGAGCCTGCTTCTCCCTCTCCCCTGTGCTTGTGCTCTCTCTCTCATATAAATAAATAAAAGCTTAAAAAAAAACTGAAGCTTACTCTTGATTTCAAGTTTTCTCCAATTAGGCAATATAGATTTACTTAATTTTACCCCTACTGGTCACAAACAATATATATATAATAAATATATATATAAAATATATAAATGTAATAAATATTTATATAATTTAAATTACATATAATATATTATTTATATAAACAGTATATATAATCATTTAAATAATTATATATATTATTTAAAGGTGACATAATAACTAACAGATTATCTATTGAAGTTGCAGCATTAAGCTAGATTTCAGAACCACAGAATATTTTAGATTCTTTTTTTTTTAATTTTTTTTATTTATTTATGATAGTCACAGAGAGAGAGAGAGAGAGAGAGAGAGAGAGAGGCAGAGACACAGGCAGAGGGAGAAGCAGGCTCCATGCACAGGGAGCCCGACGTGGGATTCGATCCCGGGTCTCCAGGATTGTGCCCTGGGCCAAAGGCAGGCGCCAAACCACTGCGCCACCCAGGGATCCCGAATATTTTAGATTCTAAATTAAGTGCCACAATAGAAGAAAATAGGCTTTAAGAGGAAATTATATTTATTATTAGTTTGAAATGCACTGTTTTATTCCATCAGATTGCTACATTTTGCCAGAACTTCAAAGATCTTTGGGACTAAAGGGAATCTTCACTATTAAAAAAGACAATATTGTTTCATGGTATATCAAACTTTAGATTATCTAATAGAATTTTTCTTAAATGTGAAAATTTATACACTTCATTTGCTCTCAAGTGATGAAAAGATTGTGCATGTCAATCAGATTATGTTTTCTTTCATAAAAGTATTTATGGAGTTTCACCAGGTTTAGAATTCTTTCATTGTAGTTTGTTGTTGTTATTATTTTGTTTTTGTTTTTTACTTTTCAGATATTATACAATGATCTCACTGCAAGGAGTTAATGGTAAGATATGGTTCCAGAAATGGAACCCCAGGGAAATCATAGTAATAAATCAAGTACTACTTGTTTAGGCAACTGATATTTATTTCTAGCAAATGCTCTTTGGAACCTGAAAACTAGTCCTCCATTTTGTATTTTTCTAACAATTTGGTGATAAAAATATAGAAAGTAAAGATAAGCTATTTCTAGATCCCAGAAAAAGTTGTCAGCTAGGATACAGGCTGTCCAATTCTTTCCTTTTTTTAAGATTTTATTTATTTATTCATGAGAGACACACACAGAGAGAGGCAAAGACACAGGCAAAGGGAGAAGCGGGGAGCCTGATATGGGACTCGATCCCAGAACCCTGTGATCACAACCTGAGCCAAAGGCAGACGCTCAACCACTGAGCCACCCAGGTGCCCACAAGCTGTCCAATTCTTTTTTTTTTTTAATTTTATTTATTTATGATAGGCACACAGTGAGAGAGAGAGAGAGAGAAAGAGGCAGAGACACAGGCAGAGGGAGAAGCAGGCTCCATGCACCGGGAGCCCGACGTGGGATTCGATCCCAGGTCTCCAGGATCGCGCCCTGGGCCAAAGGCAGGCGCCAAACCGCTGCGCCACCCAGGGATCCCAAGCTGTCCAATTCTTAAAGCAAACAGGGAGGGCTCAATAAATGTCACTGACTGGTAGTATTAACGCTTAAGGGTTACTTCTCTTAGCTAGGTAGTTGCTTAGTTCTCCTGAAAGTATGATTTTCTTTTCTCTATCCCAGATTAGCTAGGTAATGTGCTATTACTGCTTTAAACGTATGATGCATTTGTTGAGAACAATAAAAAGGGTTGTCTTGAGTATCTACAGTTCACATTCCAGGATCTTGTGACCGTGAAACAATTTACCATCTGGTACTGATATGGTTAGATAATAACCTAGTAGAATTCGGAGTATGATACTCTCAGATGAAATCTTGCTAGTAGTTGTGGTGTTTTATTTTGTTTGGTTTTGGTTTTCTTGGTCATCAGTGGAAACAGTCCTTAGTTTCTAAGTTGTTGCAATTTTTTTCTTTCTCCCTGCATTGTTCTTCCTAAACATACCTCCCCTACATGGCTTTAAAGTAAATCGTTGGGGGGAGGTACCAGACGTAGGACAGTCAAGTTGGGTGCTCGGGAGCAGTAATCAAGGATTCCCACAGTTTCCACGTGTGGTTTTGGGGTGTAAGCATAGAGCTAGGATACTCACATTAAGACCCTTGGTCTTGAGTTTTGGGACTCCAGAGACCTCTCCAGTTCAATGAGTTAGGCTACCATGTTACTTATTACCAACTTTCCACACACACACACACACACACACACACACAGAGCATGTATACTGATGGGTACATCTGGTTTCCTATCACTTTAAATAGTGGAGGTTTCTAATCCTTTGTGGGCCAACCATGCATTACACAGTACTGTGTAGTTTTATGACAGTTCTATAATTTGTTTTTCTGTGTAAAATGCTTTTGAACCTATTTGTAACAACCAGAATTTTTATTATTTCTTCATAGCAGCTTTATGCAATAAATTCTCTACATTTCTAAGGAGCAAACGTATAAAAGAAGCTAGAGCCTTTAAGACTTTTGGAAAACTTACTTTCAAGAGAACAATTTTATTCATGCAGAAATGCTTAAGCATATAAATAAAACATTTTAACTTTACACATCTGATTTTAGGCCAAGATGTCTTTTAACATCTTTAACCTTTATTCTTACCCCCCCCCCAAAATATATACTGATCTCATCTAAATTATCTTTATCATTACTTCGATTTCATAATAAATCCTTAATGTGTTCTTTAAGGAGAAATAATCCTACACCTTACTTTAGATTTTTCCTTTAAGTGTGAGATTTAAGATTATCATAACAAGTAATCAAGTTTATGTAAGAAGATCATGTAATGGGATAGGCAGGCATCTGATGCTTATTTTTCCAAAATTAATCACCATTGTTAACAATACGGTAAATCAATCCAAAGTCAAATTAAGCTTTTTTAAGTCTGTCTTGGATTTAATAGTTGATCTTACTTATTAATGGAGCATATAGCTAACAATTACTAAAATTACAGATTTAGAAATGAAACATTCCATTAGCTATCTCTGCCACAATAGCAGCATAATGTTACACTTTGTTCCTTTACTCTCTCCCATCTTCTTTAAGAAACAGGGATGTTATTATGTGGTCTTATTTCACATCCTGACCTCATTCACTTGGGTTTGGAGGACATGGTTTCCACTAAGGCTAAGAGACATGTGCGTAGGTTATTTACAACTAAGGACCTGGAAATTCTCTGTAAACTGCCATTATCAAGACATCCTTTGCGATAAAAAGTATTTCTACTCTTCAAAGACTAGAGAACCGAGTGTAATGATTAACTGATTTATGCAAGTTATTAATGATAGGACTGCTGAAGCTGCGATGTGTACGAAATGTTGATTTCCAGCAAGATTTCTTGGATTTTACTTACATGATATATTCGTGTGTCAAAGTTCAAGAGCCACCTTCCCCATTTCTTTTCTTTTCTTTTTTTTTTTAACCGTTTAAGAGAATGCACTTTTCTTTTGCCAGGAAGTAGCTAAAAGATGAGAAAAACTCTCCAGCACTTTGCAGCCGCTCTCTGAACTGGGAGAGGAAAGGGTGCTTTCTGACTTAACTCTGGCTGTCCACGGCCCAATTCAAACCTTGTAACACTCTGGCTCCAACTAAGGGTTTTAGGATAAACAAAAGAAAGAACTACAACTATTTAACGCGGCAGGCTCTACATTTAGGGAGCCCGTAAGCTGCTTTCTTGCTGAAAGTCAAAAAAAAAAAAAAGAAAAGAAAAGAAAAAAAAAACAGTCTCTGGAGTTTAAATGAACTCTTCGACGCTGACATCACAGCAGGGTCAGGAAAATTAGGAATAGGCTGGTAACCTCTCATCTTTTTTTTTTTAAACTGACCTCACCCTGGGCGAGTAACCATCATCCTGATGCCATTGTTGGAGACAGAATTTCTGGCTGAAAAGATCAGTTTTCTGACTCAGTCTGGCTTTAGCTGCTCCTGGTTAATCATCCCCATTTCGCCTCTGACTCTAGTCTTCAGAAGAGTTTTTTAAGGGACTCGCTCCCCCTAAGCAGCGGCCCTCTTTACCCTGCCTCAACCCCCACCCCTCACCCCCATTTCTATCGCCCCCTGTTTCTCTTAAGATTTTTTTTTTTTTTTTTTTTTTTTTTTTTTGCTAAACATTAGACACAGCACACGACCTCCATCAGCGTTCCGGCGTCTCGGAACAAAACCGGCTGGCGCGGTCGTCCGGCTTCTCCAGGCCGCGCATTTAGGAGGCTTTGCGCTCTTCAACTCCTAAGGGCCTGAAGCGTAAATGTTAAATTCAAAAAAAAAAAAAAAAAAAAGAATTTAAATTCAAAAAAAAAAAAAAAGCTCCCTTTTTTATTTTTTCAAACCTTTAGCCCCGCCCACCCCTCCCCTCCCCTCCCCTCCCCTCCCCTCCCCAAGCCTCCACGCGACTCTGCAGGAAACCGGAGGGGGCGGGGCGCTGACGTCACGACGCCGGCGCGTCACGGAACGGCGGCGGCTGCGGCGCTGGCGGTGGCTGCGGCAGCGGCGGCATTTTAGTCGACAGAGGCGGCGGCGGCGGCAGCGGGGCTGCTGCTCCTCCCAGCATCCCTGGCGCGGCCATTTCAGCCCCATCTTGGCCGAGGGGAGGGAGCTGCAGCCGCCGCTTGAGCAGTTTGAATTTTCAGTTTCTCCGGGGTCCGCCGACCGGGCGCACCGAGGAGGAGCCGAGGAAGCTCCCGCCGCTCGCTACCTCACGCAGCCGGAGCGTCTCCGCTCGCCGGCCCGCCCGCCCGCCCGCCGCCGCCGCCGCCGCCGCCCCTCAGTCTTCTCAGGAGCCGCGCGGGGAGGCCGCCGCCGCCGCCGCCGCCGCCGCCGCTGCCGCCGCCGCCCGCGGGGTGGCTCCCCTGTGAGGGGAGGACCGCGCCGGCCTTCCCTCCCCCCGGAGCGGGCTTCCGCCGGAGACGGCCGACATGGCCCTGGGGCTGAGCTCCGGCTGACGCCGGGGAGGAGGGGGCCGCCCGCGGACCTTCAGCCCGCCCCAGCCCGCGGCTCCGGCCGGAACCCGGACTCCCCGGCTCCGGACTCGCCGCTGCCTCCCCTGCTTCCCGGCGCCGACGAGCCCGAGCGGGGCCGCGCCGCCCTCCCGCGCCCTCCCGCGCCCTCCCGCCCCCGGCCGAGGCCTGCGGACCGCGGCGGCCCCGGCGCCGGGAGCAGGAAGCCGGCGGCCCGCCCCTGCCACCGCGCTCGCGCCGCCGCGGAGGGGATTGAATTGAGGCGCCGCGGCTGCGGGAGGCGACGAGGAAGGAGGAGCCGCCGCGCGAGGGCGTCGGGGGGCAGAGCCGGAGGAAGCGGCGCGGAGGGATGTCTCCCGGGGCGGCCGGCGCCCCGAGCGGCCGGGGGCTCTGAGCAGCGGCCGGCCTCCCCGACCGACCCCAGCGCGGACTCGGACTTTGCCTCCGGGGGCCCCCCCGTGCCGGTTTCCGGCCCCAGCGCGGAGGAGCCGGCGCGCCTCTCCGCCCCCCGCCGGCCTCCCTCACCATGTCCAAGATGCCGGCCAAGAAGAAGAGCTGCTTCCAGATCACCAGTGTCACCACCGCCCAGGTGGCCACTAGCATCACGGAGGACACCGAGAGCCTGGACGACCCGGACGAGTCGCGCACGGAGGACGTGTCCTCCGAGATCTTCGACGTGTCTCGGGCCACCGACTACGGCCCCGAGGAGGTCTGCGAGCGCAGCTCCTCCGAAGAGACGCTCAACAACGTTGGGGATGCGGAGACTCCCGGGACCGTGTCCCCGAACCTCCTGCTGGACGGACAGCTGGCGGCCGCGGCGGCGGCGGCGGCTCCCGCCAACGGAGGAGGAGCCGCGTCGGCCCGGAGCGTGGCCGGCGCGCTGGCCGGTACCCCGGCGGCCCCCCCGGTGGCGGGGGCACCGGGCGCCCCCCCGGTGGCGGGCTCGTCCGCCGGGCCTGGGACTGCGGCCCCGGCGCAGCCCCCCACCACTTGCAGTTCCCGGTTTCGAGTCATCAAGCTGGACCACGGGAGCGGGGAGCCCTACCGACGCGGCCGATGGACGTGCATGGAATACTATGAGCGGGATTCAGACAGCAGCGTCCTGACCAGGTCCGGGGATTGCATTAGGCACAGCAGTACTTTCGACCAGACTGCGGAGCGGGACAGCGGCCTGGGCGCCACCGGAGGGTCGGTGGTGGTGGTGGTGGCCTCCGTGCCGGGGGCGCACGGGCCCGACTCGGGAACTGACAGTTCCCTGACTGCTGTGTCACAGCTACCCCCGTCGGAGAAAATGAGCCAGCCCGCCCCGGCCCAGCCGCAGAGTTTTGGCGTTGGGCAGCCACAGCCACCGCCGCCCGTAGGTGGGGCTGTGGTTCAAAGCGCGGCTCCGGTGCCGCCGTTCCCGGGAGCCGCGGCCGGGCCCCAGCCAATGATCGCGGCCCCGCAGCCAAGCCAGCCCCAGGGAGCCGGCCCCGGCGTCCTCCCGCAGGGCCCCAATGGACAAGGGCTGCCGCTGACGAATGTAACCCTGCCGCAGCAGCCGGGCCCCGCGGTCGGCGCCCCTGCGACGCAGCAGCCCCAGCCGTTCGCGTACCCCCAGCCTCAGCTACCGCCCGGGCATTTGCTGCCAGTCCAGCCCGCGGGGCAGAGTGAGTACCTACAGCAGCACGTGGCCGGCCTGCAGCCGCCAAGCCCCGCGCAGCCCTCGTCCACCGGCGCCGGAGCGAGCCTTCCCGTGGGCGCCGGCCCGACTGCCGCCGCGGTGGGGGCGCAGATAATGGGCGTGGCTTCCCTGCCCGGCGAGGCCGTGGCCCCGGGGCCGGGACCCGCGCCCGGCGGACAGGCGGCGCCCGGTCAGCCGGCCGTAGTGCCCCTGGCTGCTCTTGGATGCGCGGTGCAGCCGGGCCTGGTCCCCCCTGGGACCGTGCAGCCCCAGTCCGTGCCTCCGCCGCAGATGGGTGGCAGTGGGGCGCCGGCAGCCGTGCCCGGCGGCCCCCACGCCGTTCTACCCGGAGTTCCAAACGTGCCTGCAGCCGCGCCCGCTCCAAGCGTGCCTAGTGCGTCTACCACCTCCATTACTATGCCAAATGTCCCCGCGCCGCTGGCCCAGTCGCAGCAGCTGAGCAGCCATACGCCCGGCAGCAGGAGCAGCAGCGTAATCCCGCACGGTGGGCTGCCCTTAGCGCCAGGCACACCCAGTGCACCGACGAGTCTACCGCAGGCTGACCTAAGCCAGTTCCAGACTCAGACCCAGCCTTTGGTCGGGCAAGCCGACGATACCAGAAGAAAATCAGAACCCCTACCTCAACCGCCACTTTCTCTCATTGCTGAAACTAAGCCTGTCGTGAAGCCGCCTGTTGCAGATGCCCTGGCCAACCCCCTTCAGTTAACACCTATGAACAGTCTCGCCACCTCTGTGTTCAGCATAGCTATTCCCGTGGATGGCGATGAAGACAGGTATGGAAATCTTCCTTAAAATTCTTGATAGGAACCCTTGACCAAACACTAGTTTAGAATGCAACTTAAGAGTTCTTTTTTTTTTTTAACCCCCGCAGTTTGAGAGGCCCTTAGCGTTTTTTTAAATAGACAAATTGTGTTTTTTGTCAGATTGATTTGTCAGTTTTTGAAAAGGCGTTAGATTGCTAATGTAAAGGTGTGTGATGAGAGAATTGGTCTTGTCACAGTCATTTAAGAGCACTGAATTGGATAAGGATACAACGTTTGTTCATTCGTTTGTTTAAGCTTAATTTTCTCGATTTACAGGTGGTAACTGGTAGATTATGCCCCATAGCATTTTCTTAGGTAACAATCACACCTGAACGCTTATGGCAGAGTTTTGTCAGTGTGAGTTAGGAGACCAGGACATACAATTAGAAGTTTCCCATTCTGGAAAACCAGAGGTCGTATAATAGGGATAGATCCATGTAAGGAATCTTCTCCAGTCTGTCTGCAAAGGCTGGAGAGAGTGGTGAAATGTCATGTCTGGCTTTGAAGATCATATCGTCCTCCAGCCTTTTTAATAAAAGAACATAGAAGGTCAGGAGGCTTCCCAGTGACATCGTTAACATCCCCCCCCCCTTTTTTTTTAAAGCAAAAGGTGTGTTATCATCCATTAGTTTTTTGTTTTGTTTTTTGTTACTATAGAAAGGGAGGTATGAAATAAGACTCTTTGACAGTAGTAAAAGCTACAGTTCTTGAAGTTAGAGTAATTTTATAGTAAATGTGTTCATGTCAATAATTGGCTCCCTCTATTTAAGGGATGCTTTCTTAATAGTTTAAGTGAAAATTGGTGTATTGCCATACCAATTCTACAACAGTTGATGTTTGGTTATGGTTCAGTGAGGATTTTAAGTGGTTTTCAGGAAATGTCACCGGAAAATTTGACACACATTGCAAATTTTTAAAAACCGACTTGTTACAAAGCTTTAAAATTACATTTAAAAATTACAGAGAAGGTTTCAGGTACTTTACAGTTAAGCATTTATTTGCTGGAGTTTTTTCTTTTGAGCGAGGTTAATTTTAGATATGTTAAAAGCTGTTTTTATGGATTTCTAGAATAATTGGTATGTAGAACAATGAGATCTGTTAAAGCTTTTTCTTCTTGTTTCTTCTGAGTTCCTTCACATTCTCAACTTTTCATTTCTAATTAGCCCTGAATTATTGTTATATACTTCTGTTGGTTTGAAAAATGCTCACTGAAATCATCTTCTCTGCTTTTTGTAATTCAAAGTTCATCTTTTTTTGTAGGTGACTTGCTTATTGGGAGTCTTTTTTCCATTTGAGAACTCTTAGAGAATACCACGTGTCCCATAAGTGAGCCCAGCTAGCTAGTCATTGAGAAATTTTATATGGATGGGACTAACCAAGTAAAGAAACTGATTCCACAAGCCATTCAGAAAAATCCCTCTTACATCTGCTCCCATATTTCATTTTTCACACATAGGGGCACATCTGAAATGCAGATTGAGTTTATTTGTTCACCTTTTGTAAGAGGCAACAGATAATCTTCCCTTTTCTAGCTGCCAGAAGCCAGGTTTTTCTCATGGGTTGGTAAATAACCATTTGCTTGCCTCTGTTCCTATTGTACATTGCCCCCATATCTCAAGAAATGATGAGTGGTTTCCCAAACCACACTCCCTTCATAAAACACAGGCACATCTATAAATGAAGGATGTATTTTCTCTCCTCTTCACCACCTCTCTGTTTACAGCCTTTGTAATTAAATTCCCCAGAACTTTAATACGATGATATGGCATGAAGCAGAGAGCTCTGTTGACAAATGGAAACTCTGGGATGTATTCTTTGGGGTATGACCTCAAAAATGCAATTATTTATCCTCTTAACTTTATTAAAAGGGTTAATCATTTTTGAGAATCTTATTTCAGAAGGTGAAAGAACTACAGATACTAACCATATCAGTTCTTATCAATTGCAACAGTTAATCCAGTGCTGGGGTTTTGATGTTGTGTGTGCAGTCCTATATTTAATGTGTTACTTCCCTCCCCCACCCAGTCTTTTAAAATCTGCATTGCTTATCAAATGTCCATTTCTAATTTTTGTTATACTCTTTCATTGGTTTTTAATGTAACATGCTAGTTTTCAAGATGTAATCTTACACATTTGACTATTTTGTCTCTGGACCAACACACCTGGTGAAGGAATAAATCCATTAAGTAGAAAGTTTTTTGTTTTTAATGGAAAGCCTTTGTAAAAGGGAATTTTAAAGTTGTATGCTTGAAATTAAATAACAGTTTTTCTAGGCGTATGCTAAAATTACTGAGATGACTATTTTTGAGGAAAACGTACCAACAAAAATCATAATTTTAATATGATTTGGGGTTGCCTTCTTAAAATCTGCATACAGTTTTAGTTGCAGTCATTCAAATGTGAAATAAAACATTGGAGTGACAGGTCTTGAACAATTATGACTTTGTGAATGGATTGACAAATTTCAGATCCTAAAATTTTGTGAATAGTTGCTCTTTTAAGTTACTGTGTTAGTAACTAGTTTTTTGAGAAAAGGAAGGGAAATGGAAGATTAACAAACGATTGAGTTTCTTCAGTTTGATATATTGAAAACTATCTTGTGATTTTTGGCTCCATAACCATAATACAAGGCGTCATTTTGAGACTATTTTTAAAAAGAGGACTTTATAGTAATACCTTTTAGTAATATACCTTTCAAAGGGCTGATGGTTGTGTATAGAAAGCAAGAATATATTTTAAAGTTCAGTTAACACTGCCTGTTGACTCTATATTAGTAATTACTATAAAGTCTATATATTATTCTAGCCTTTCTCATTGGAAAGGCTTATAGTCAATTGTTTCTTTAAACTGATTTTGTGTAAACTGGAGAATGTTGTAATGGTTGAAAATAGAGTTCATAAAAAACCACTTTTCCAGTGAAAGTTACAAAATTTCTTTAAATTACTTACACACTTAACAGACCCCTTTTTGGTAAATGGGGAGAGATGCAAAATATTACTGGCCCTTTTGGAATGGGAACACAGTACAGATCGTTTTCCATAGATAGCTGACCAATGTGAACCCTGTAGGCCACATTCCAGGAACTCTTATGAATGGCTGCAATTGTGAACTGTCAGCTACAACCAAGGATTGTTAGAAACCTGATTGTAAGGATCCCTTAGTGGTAGACATCTTTATACCTTGTTTAATGACTTTATTTGTGTAGCTTGCTAATGACTACTGATTAAGTATTATAAATTGTGAATGTTAAGTGGTGTACCCTGGTAGGTGCTATTACTACTAATTTTGTTTATACAATTATATGTATATCTCAAATATATACACACACACTTATGCAGGTTTTTAACTTGATGGTTAAGTGAGATTATATAAACGTATAAGAGCCAGAACTGTCACTCTTTATTGTATAACCTATAGATACTTAGTCTAGAGCTCTGAAAGTCTCACTGCATTTAGTCTTTACAAATGAAAGCTCCTTAGGTGAATCTGTATTTCTTGGGAGCTATGTTTCTTTATCAATATTGAAATGTGGACATAGTTTTTGCCCTTCCAGCTTTACAGTTGTTTAAATCACACACTGGATGTTATCTTATGTACTCTTACCCAGGATTTTGTGATCAAAGTGTGAAATCCTGTGTATGAGTGGCATTATTATTTAATATGAAAAATGATGGATTCATCAGAGTGCCATACTAATTACTAAAATATACTTTAGTCATAAACATGGCTCTAAATAAAGGCAATTATCATAGATTTCCGGAAGGATTGATGGTCCAAAAGTGTATCAGTAGGAATATGGCTTTAGTTTTGTTTTTTTTTATTAACAGTGACCTATATATTGTTCAAAAGTTTTTTTGAACGAAATTCTATAGGCTGTACATTGCATAACCTTTAGTAAACATAGGGGCTTATATGTGTGTGTGTAAGGCACACTCTAAGTAACTATTTTAGTAACACTATTTTTTCCTCGTAGGGGGGGAGTATCTTGAATGAAATTGCTTTTATGAGAAGCCTTTTTTTTTTTTTTTTTAATAATACTAGGACTGTGCTGTATATGTTTTCTACTTCCTGAGGAAAGTGTAATATTAAACTGTTCTTTGAGAATTCTGATATCACTGCTTTGGAAATAGTAAAACATGATACTGGATTTATAGATCTGGTATTTGCTAATTTGAAATAGAGTTTAGTCTTTCTCTGCACCAGAAGAGATTGGAAGTAAGTCATGCGCTTTAGTGTTCTAGTAACAAAGAGCACCCCCAACAATCAGATGGTAAAAAGACAAAATTAGTCTCTTTACTGAGGAATGGTTTTGATAGGGGAGTATAAAAAGATCTTGACTTTTCTTTCCTAACATAACAGAGGTTGGGGCAGGGGGAGGTAGAGAGTGATGGCAGATAACCAAGACAGAAGAAAATAGAGCAAAATAACATGAAATATGGGTCTCAGAAGGAATCAGGAACACTTATTACTAGTGAAGAAAAGGCATCTAATTCCTTTTTTAAATAATTGTTTTAGACTAGTAGGTATTTCCTTTTTGAATACTGTTTATTTCTTAATTGCATTACTCTTTAAATACTCCTTAAGTATGAGGAAGAGGGGGTTTATAAAAACAGATTTGTCTATTTTAATGTGGCCTTAATGATGTTCCCTAAGTAATTTCTTGTTAATGGGAAGAGCAGAGTTTTAATAAAAATTTGTAATAGTTGACAGTATTTAAGGGGTATGAATAGCAAAATTCCTGACTTGGAATAAATCCTTTATGTTAGTTTTTTCTTTATACTAAACCAAGTGGACTTGTGATTTGAGGCTGCTCTTTTATGTGGTCTAATAAAATTACTGCATCCACAAAGAATGTACATACCTGAATCATTGGTATAATTTGGGTCTTTCCCACAGCAGTTCTTGAACATACCAGATTACTCAATATTTATTACATTCTTAATCTGGCAATCTGACATAGCTCAGGGCAA